GACTTTGATTTAAAACAAGAAAACAGAAAGAAAATGAAGAGGACGGAGCGAGCTTCAGTCTTCACCTCATTTTGGGGGGTAACTGGGCTCAAAGCTCTGCTGCGGGCACCCAGGTTGAGAGGATGACTCCCGAGCTGGGGGGTGCGAGGGCGAGCGGACCCGGGTCCTGCGGAGGGGCTGGGGTGGGACCATAGCTTTGGTCCCTGCCGGGAGGGGAAGGGACCGGCAGCTTCCCAGCGCTGGTACGCTGCGCTGCGAAAACAGACGTTGTGTTTAAGGAGAGGTTGTGTAGTTTCTGGGGATTGTTTGCGCTCTCCTGAAAACGCACTGAGCCTGCACCGCACGGAATGCGGGGATTTGTTCATCACAAGCAAAAAACATTGGGATGTTTGGCCTCCACCACCTTGCAGGCTTCGCGCTCATCTTAAGGCTTTTCCGTCGATCCCCTGCAGGCAGGGAAATTAAACCACGTTACAGGACGAGGTGAAACACTTTGCTTGCCGTGTCCGGGCAAGTCGTCGGGGTAGCTTTGCGTCCTTCTCTGGTAGTTTGGCTTATCGCTGCTGTTATCTATTGACAGGATTTTAGTTGATATTTTGCAGAAGGCTCTGTTGACTATGCGTTATTGACATATTCTTAGCTTAAAACCATTACCACGTTAAAGCCCTGGCTTTCGAAACTAATTACAAGACATTAATAGCTAAGCCCTAAGAGCTAAGTCATGTAAATATTGCTATCTGTAAAGTTGGATATACAGAAACTGTTTGAACTGCTGACTTAGTAACTGGAGTCTAAAAGCAAGCTGTAAAGGTGGCAATAAATCTGAGCACAATCCTCCGCAATTGTTTTCTAATGTGTCTGTGAAATTAATGGCAGAGTTGTTAGGAAAGTCCTATCAGGGAACGTGGCTATTTTTTTTTTCTCTGAGTAGGTTAATTATCACTAATGTAATTATTTTTGTACTGATTTTTATTTTAATCAAACATTGCATGAAACAATTTAGTTCAGAACAAATAGCTTATTACAGAAATGTTTGTGGTAGTGAGAGAAAAAGCAGTGATGGCTAAATTATACACGTACATTGAGTTACTTTATTCATTAAAATGAACAATTATGTTAGGCCTTCTGAGACAGGCTAAGCACTTCTTGTTAATGTTTGTTCTGCAGTGAACATAATGAGAATTTATTTGGAAATGGATCCCATCCTTCCAGCTCAATGCATTTATGAACTGGGCGATATGTAGGAGTTGGGAGAGCTTGGGGGGAAAAGGCTTAGAGAGAACCTCTAACCAAGACGGATGCTGCATCGCTCTGCGCCTGTGAGGAAGGCCCTGGATCCGGGAGGGCGTTTTTTCTTTTCTTCCCTGTGGTTCTTGTTTGTTCATTTGCTTTTGGGTTTTGTTTTCATATTTTTTCCTCTATTCTGTGGTGGTAGGGCAAGACATAGTGTCCCACTGCAACATGGTGGCTCTACTGGATCTAGGTACCGCAGAGCATGGCCAACTTTGAAGTTCTTTTTTCATCAGCTGTTTTGAATGTCCTACAATGAACCAGATGTGGGGGTTTTCCCCCCATTTATCAGATCAAATCATCAGTGGATGAACTATAATAGCCTCAGCCTGCACATTGTATGGTTGAAGACATGCCAGGTAACATGCTGCGAAGTGGATGATGGGTAGAGAGGTGATTTTTCAAGGCGTGAGGCACGCGTGTCTACAGCAGCTCGTGCAGTCTAGGCTTTGCATCCTTCCCACGCTTGGCAGAGTGTCATGGAGGAGTTCGCTGTGTCCCTCGGTGCTGACTTGGCCGAGTACGAAGGTCAAGATGCAAAATGGTTGGATAGCTGTGAGCATGGTGTGTCTGGCTACGCCTGCAAGTGGTGGTGCTTTGGGAAAAACAAATTCCCTAATCCTCGGTGCAAGATTTGTGTTAATGGCAAGAGTTTCTCACGATTTATGAAATTGTTTACTTGTTGCTTTCTAGATTAGATACTCACTTTTTGATTACGGGATGAGAGTTTATTATATTTGCTTATAGAAACGTAGGATTTGTACACATATAGCACTCTTCCTCTGCGGATCTCAAAGATTTTGTCGGTCTTTGTTATAAATAGAATTGACAGCACCTCCAGCTTATAGATGGGGAAGTGGAAGAAAAAAATACATGAAGTGCCTTGCCCACATTGATTGAACTGGCCTGGGGGCAGGGTCAGCAAAAGAGCATGAACCTCCTGAGTCCAGGATCGGTCGTTTCTCTAGTTAATCTTGTCGTCTGTGTTTTTAATGGGTGCAGTTTAGTTTTGAATCTTGGCAGGTAGTGTTGGTTGGTGAAACAACAGTCTTGGAAATCATCATCCTCAAAACCATTTTTCCCTCTTTACCTCTCTCCTTTAAGAATAGGATGTAACATGCAAGAAGTTCGGGCTTGCCATGGCAGTCTGCTGCTCTGTTTCCTGTGGTTCCTATCTCTGAAGGCCGCTTGGGCGTTCCTGCTGCTGGTTTGCCATCAGCAAGAGCTGGGGCAGGACGCGGCAGTGGGCTGTGCCATGGCCACGTCCCATGGACACATTAAGAAAGAAGCAACCAAACCAGCGCTGCCCCTGAATGAAATGCTCTGCTGTCTCAAATCTTTGAGGCCAGTGATAGAGTTATCATGGTGTCACCCCAGGAAACCAGAAAAAGGACTTTCCATAATTTTGCCTGATCTTCTATTTATCTCTTTGCACACAGTCTCTGCACAGAATTAAGTACCTTTAGGCTGTCCTGACTACCCAGCAATGCCATGGAATATGCTTGAGAAGAAAGAAATTCATCATTTCATAGTCATAAGGGGGGGATATGATAACACATTAATAATTCTGCGGTTCTGTGAGATATTAGCATGCAGAAAATTGGTGAGAATTCTTTCATCATTGGGTCAAAATCCATGCGGTTAGGATGCCTTTCTCATTTCATGTCAATGCATGCTGTAAGAAGGGCACCGAGTAACTTCTATGTTTAATAGTTACAATGGAAAATGGAGGCTCCAGGCTGGATCGAGGTGCCTCACGTCCTAGCTGTACAGGTAAGATACAGTTACCCTGTCTCAATTTGCTTTTTAGAAGGGCAAGATACAAATGAGCCATTAAGAAGAGTAAGAGAAGATGCAAACCCTTGGTCAGTTGGTTTCTTAAGGGATTGTCATGAAATTTTTCATACCTGCTTTATGAGTCAGGAATCTTGGCCCTGGCTCTCTTTACTCACCCTATCTGTGGTTCCCTTTCCTGCAAACGTCTTTGTGGTGCCTCGGCGGCAAGTTACGCTCACGCCTGCCAGCTTACTCCAGCTCTCTCGCGAGGCCGGTGCACATGCGAGGGATCCAGGTTTGTGAAGGGCTTGCTAGCCGTTACCAGTCGGAGCAGTGCCGGAGTCGGGCACAGAAATGGATTTCCTGGCTCCTTGTAAGAGCTTCCAGTAAGACCAAACTACCATTTACCAGTGCAATTAAACGAGTCTTTGCGTCCCCCTTTATCACCAGTATTCCTCCAGCTCTGCAAGCTGCGTACCTTCAGCCCAGCGCAGTATGGAAGGAGAGCTCCTGGATCTTTTTTTTTTCAGAATAAGTTGTGAATATTGAAGGTTAATGAAGTTTCTCAAGCAGCGGCAGACCTCTAGAATATCTGTTATTGAGGGATTATTTTTATAACATTCACGGCAGAGCCTCTTGATAGTATAGTATCTGAGCAGTGTGTGACTTTAGGTTTTTTTTTTTTTTTTTCAAATATATGAAATGAAGATGTTACAGGATCTATTTTGAATTAAATTAGGAAAGTTCAACTTAATCCTTCAATTTAAGACTTGCAACCCCCAGTCTTCCTGTATACATTAATAATCAAGGCAGCTGATTCAGGAAGCATCTTAGAATTTTTTACTTGTAGGGTTTTAATGGAGCTTGTAAGCATTTAAATAACTTAAAAAAATAGCTGAAATTTTTGTTTTAATAACGCTTATTCACATCTATCTCAGGACAGGAGGTTTTATATTTGGGAAAAATCCATACACACACACACAGAGCAGCTATTGGAGCCACAGAAATGTTGCTGGGCAGCTGAGTTGGTAATTGGTGCGATGCGTCGGAGCTGGGAATGTCAGGACCTTCCCCGTGGGTCCAGCCTGGACCATCTCAGGGGGCTCCAATGCTAAACCTCCCTTGTTCTTGAAAACTGGGTAGCGGCTTTAGTATGGAATAGTTTGAAATGATTTGTGAGTCTCATTTTCTGCAGTGCTTGGGAGCCTTTGTGCACATACTTTGGAGTCTGGGTTTCTTAAGATTGCAGAGCAAGTGTGACTTTCCATTTATTTAATACCATCATTGACAATTTGCATTCCCAGGAGCGTGTATGATATTTCAAAAGCGGAATGTGACTTTGAAATGAAATATTATCTAATTACTGCATTTTTCATTGATGACTATTTTCTTTGTCCTTCATATTTCTTATATGGCTCACGTTGCAGATCTTGCCATGTTCTCACTGATTCCATGCCCAATCTAAGACACATTTCCATCCCACTGAAAATATTAACCTGGTCAGTGGTAGCTCCAAGAAGGGAGATCTCTTGTTCTGGTCTCGGTAAGAAGCCCTGACTCGAGGTGCATGGAAAGCAGTTTTGTGAATGTAACTCCTGCCTTCCCTCAGGCCATTGCAGTGTTCTCACAAATTCCGTGAAACAAGGAAGAGGTCTACACTGCTGTTTTAGCTGATGTTGTGTGTCGTACCACCAGAATTAACGACTAATAAAAATGAAGGCAGTAAATACACTCATGCATTGGAGTCCCATGTGAAGCCACCAGCGTGTGTGGTTCCCGGTGCTTTTCCAGGAGTCTATCACACACAAAGTTTATCCATTTGGTTTTTCTCTGTTGTAGGTTCCCCCTTGGTCCTCCCCGCTTCCGTTCCCACCCTGGCTGTCTGACGGTAACGTCTAAATAAACAACCTCTTTCTGTTTCACGTGTCTTATAGATCGATGAAATGCAGTGGGGCAAAGGAGTGCGTGAAGTCCCATCCTCCGTCTGCAGCCTGCCCTGCAAGCCGGGAGAGAGGAAGAAGATGGTGAAGGGGATGCCGTGCTGCTGGCACTGCGAGCTCTGCGACGGCTATCAGTACCAGGCTGACGAGGTGACTTGTCTGCTCTGCTCATACAACGAGCGGCCCAACGAGAACCGAACGGGATGCCGTTCCATACCCATTGTCAAGCTGGAGTGGCACTCGCCCTGGGCTGTCATACCCGTCTTCTTGGCTATGCTGGGAATTATTGCCACCATTTTTGTCATGGCGACCTTCATCAGATATAACGACACTCCCATTGTCCGGGCTTCTGGGAGGGAGCTCAGCTACGTCCTGTTAACAGGGATATTTCTGTGCTACATAATCACGTTTCTGATGATCGCCAAACCAAACGTTGCAGTGTGCTCCTTCCGGCGTATCTTCTTGGGCCTGGGGATGTGCATCAGCTATGCAGCCCTGTTAACTAAAACAAACCGCATCTACCGCATATTTGAACAGGGCAAAAAGTCAGTGACAGCACCCAGGCTTATAAGCCCCACGTCGCAGCTGGCGATCACGTCGAGTTTGATATCTGTTCAGCTTCTAGGTGTCTTTATTTGGTTTGCAGTTGACCCACCCAACATCATCATAGATTATGATGAGCAGAAAACTATGAACCCTGACCAAGCCAGAGGAGTTCTCAAATGTGACATTACGGATCTACAAATCATTTGTTCCTTGGGTTATAGCATTCTTCTAATGGTTACGTGTACTGTGTATGCCATCAAGACTCGGGGTGTCCCAGAGAATTTTAATGAAGCTAAGCCCATTGGATTCACTATGTACACTACCTGTATAGTATGGCTTGCCTTCATTCCAATATTTTTTGGCACTGCCCAGTCAGCCGAAAAGGTAGGTGGAAAAGAACAAATGTGCATCTGATGTATCAGGATTCGTTGCAGTTATAAATTATGCACTGATGTTCAGCCTTACATAGATTTTAAAATGAGCTATCCAGTTAGCTCATTACCGAGACGTGTACAATATATAGCACTATTTTCCTTCTCCGGTTAGCTGGTGGGCTATTCATTTGATAAACTGGCAAATGATCAATAGCAATCATATTAGCCATTAGTTTTATTGTTGCATCCATTTCAATTGTATCTTTTCAGTAGGATAAGTGGGAATTAGCGGTCATATTGTCCAGAAGGAGGCATCGTTTAACAAAACCATTTTGAACAGAAGATGTAAGCAAAAAAAGCTGTCCAAAAATAGTCAAGTAGAGTCCTGCGCTTCTGGAGTTCAGCACTGAGGGCAGTGCTTGGTCGGGTGAGCGCTGTGCTTCACGAACAGCAGCCTCGGGGCCCATTTACACCAGAGGGTAAATGGCCTGTCCTGGGCTCCAGCTGCTGAGGCTGGCCTGACGGGGCTACCTGTACTGCTTATTCTTAAACGAGTCCAGGTAGGCTTATCCTACAGCTCATGGCAGGGGTACAGCCAGAGCCCTGGGGTGAAGGCCAGGTTGCTTGGCTTCATAGCTGAAGTCCCCTTTAAGCCCACGTTGTTCCTTCACCAAAAGCCAGCCCAAAGTGTTACACTTACGCCACTTAAGCAAAAGCGTCCAAATGTTAGGATCCAATCCATTAGTTGGATTGTTATGAAAATTCATTATTGCAAAGCACCACCAGACTCAACTAAAATATTCCTGTTGGCACTGAGAGGCTTCAGGTGCTGCCGAGGAGTCTGCAGGGCACCTGCCCCAGGGCCAAAGAGCGCTTTGCTTCCATCCCCTGCTCGCAGCAGCCGAGGGAAGGCGCTGGGCAGCTCAGGGGACGTCACTCCCTTCTTCCCATCACATTTATTGGTGAGGATGGTGGCCTTGGAGAAACAAGGCGATAAACGGCCAGAGGACAATACGATTCATCTTGCAAAACATTGTGGGAAGGTCTGTTGGCGAGAAAAACCCTTTTCAGATTCGCCCTTACGGTGTTTAAAAAGGGCCAAGCGTAGGTGCTCTGTGCGGTTTTGAGTGAACGGTATTCAAGAGGTGAAAAATCGCTCGCTCTGCTCTGACGATGTGCAGGGCTAAATCAAACCGCGAGGGGCTGAGCACTGCGACTTCGGCTGCCTCCCGGGTCCCCTTCTGCCTGTTCCTGGTGCTGCCCAAGTGGCTCCAGCTCATGCTTGGTGGCCGAGATCTGGCTTTACTTCTCGCTGAGTCTTGCTTGGAGAGAGCTGTAATTTTTCATGCTTGGTGGCCGAGATCTGGCTTTACTTCTTGCTGAGTCTTGCTTGGAGAGAGCTGTAATTTCGGAGGGGTTTGGCAAATACCTGCAAGCCTAGTCTTGAGGCGGAAATGAAAGTATT